CTAGTTGTTAAGACAAAGTTACTCAGGGTCGTAACCTTGACAACATATGTCAAGGTCAAGGTCATCGGCGCGGTGTCCGTTAATGTGAATAATTACTAAAGTTTAAAATAGAAACGTTAAAAACGTTTTTTAACGTTTTTATTCTAAACGACAAAACATGCTTTTGTGATTTTACTTGTTACACATCTAATTGCGAACAATTGCTTGTTATATAAAAAATGTGAAATATCCATTTTTGAACTTTTGATTGTTTTCCCGTTTGAGTATTCAGAGTGCAGCAGATTTGGTAGTTTGTGGTGACTGACTCTCAACAGAGATGATATTTTCTTGTAAATTTTCATCGCTGATGAAGACTCCAAAGTGAGTTGAAACGTTCGATACTATGTAACCTCATGACATTAAAGAAAGATGACTATTAACATCTGAAGTACATTTACATCTGCAAGTTGCACGTAATGGTACTTTAGATGTGTTCCGTTTCACGCATGATGCGTGAATCTCGTGATGAAAGTTTCGGGCAAAGAATACTCCCTATTCTTTGGTTTCGGGTTAAGACGGTTAAGTTCAAATTTGCTAAAAAAAAAGCTTTCAATTCAATTGCTACTTAGCCGTTCGATAAGCAGTCGTGTTTCTGGCTGAAACGGACTTACTAACGATATGTTTGGAGCATTTTTAGTTTGTAAAACTAATGAAGAATAATGTCAACAGTACTATTAACTGTTATTTCGACAGGGTCTTCTAATCCTTAATCGTTTTACGATTATAATTATAAGTTTTTCCAATTATGTAATATCCATTGCATATTTTATTTTTAAGATTAACTTGGATTATTATGTTATGGTTCATAACATCGTCGATAATTTGTCGATAATGTAACAAAAATGGTAAATAAATTCATTTAATACTTATACATTCTTTGCACATTACTATTATCATAATAAAATTAATGTAAAAGTATCTCAAATGTATCGAAAGATACTTTTTAAAATATCTAGTATCTGTATCTATATACATTTTAATTTGTGTATCTATATCTTTATTTAGATAAATTTTCGCATATGTAACTGTATCTGTATCCAAATAAATTTTAAGAGTATCTTACCCATCACTGAACATTGCAGAGATATTACAAAAATGTAAATTAACAATATGCCTGCAAGATGTCAGTAATACGCCTGTAATATTCCAAAAACATTACAAAACTGTAATTCTTTAATTGTTAATATAATAATATGAAAATATAATTTTTTATAATATTCATGTAGTACAGTCTTTTAGTTTAACAGTCGTTTTTATGATATAATATAATCTATTTTTATATTTCAAATAAAAAATTTATTTATCTATTATTTGATAGCCATTTTATTAGCTAAATTTTATATTTATTTAAAATATAAAATCAAAAGATTGTATAATATCGAATTTGAATACAATCAACGCATCATTATCGGATGAGACGATAAGCAATTAAGATGCTGAAAACGAGATTTATTGAAATATTAATTATGTGATTTATGATATATTTATGCTTAATATGCACGCAGAAATAAACCAGCGCCCGAATTTTATTAGTAAATTTCATACCGTCATTTTTTAAACAATTTCAATTGACTCGGATTGGCTTTGAATTGAAAAGAATCACTGCAATTAACTTAATTCATGATTAACTTACCAAGCGATTATGTTATTATGTTAATATATAGTGGATATATATAGTTGATATTTGTTTTTCCAAAAGCAATTTTTTATAAAAAAAACCATAGAATATTCCAATAAATGCAGTATTAATTCTGAAGGATATATTTATTTGCAAGGATAATTAAAACATATATGTATGTGTGTACTTCGAACAAACTATAAATATTATCCACATTAACATAATAATATTTACTTGGTAAGTTAATCATGGATTAAGTTAATCGCAGTGATTCTTTTTAATTTGAAGCCACTCC